CTATATGGACGGACACACTTATTCAGCAGACTTCAGTGAGAGCAGTTTTAGGGGAGTTATAAACTCGACGAAGAATTCTACTTTTCTCGTTTTCTTCGCGCTATTCAAAGATCACACATTTAGCGATTTTATCGCTCCCTGGTCTTCGGTCGTTCCTTCACAAGAAACAGAATTACGGGAAAGGTTTTGCTGTTGCTGGACCTAAAACTCGAAGGAGGTGAGCGGCAAACTGGGAAAAACTGGCTGGCGTTGGTCTTGAGTGTTTGCCATCAAGTGCTTGTGATAAAACGGGCGTCAGCAGACATGCTCTGTGAGCAAGGTAAGCTGAATTCTTAACAGTTGTCGAAAAATGATCATGTCAAGAAGGCATTCAATTCCAAATAGAAATCGAAAACTTAGCCGTCGTGGTTCACGTTCTCCGAAATACTTTGAATTTGGTCATTTTTAGGTTATGTTTTAAAGTGCGGTGTTTGGTCTAGAATTAGAGGGCCTGAATAGGGGTGCTAGAATCTCAGTTCTTATCGATTTCTCTGCGTCTTGTTTCAAATTACCCACCTAAACCTATTGGCCATGTAGTCGTTCTGAGTTCCTGATGAGAACGGGGCGATATTTTTGCTTTTTCAGCACTGTTTCCAGTTTTGTTGTAGTCAGCTCACTATGTAAGATTGAGTAGAATGTTTACCCTATATAAGCTTAATAAACAACGCTAAGTCAATTATCAATTGCTTACAGGAAAAGAAAAATGGAAAATCAAAAGTGGAAAAAATGAAGGAAAGATTTGAAGAGTAAGGAAATTGCGAAAGGACTTCTTACTGTTTGGGCTGGGTCGTCTGTCTCATATTCATACTCGTATAAAAGTTCCAGAATGTCTTAAAACCTAGCGAGTGCCAAGGCTCCTTTGTTTAATATCGGAAAAGGCATTCCCACAGCGATATAGGTTCTCCTTTGTTTTGTTAACAGAATATAAACAAACTGCTTTGGCAAATTCTTAGCTTTCATCAGGTTTACAGATCTCAGCTCTGTCTTCTCAGGTGGCGCGTCTACTTTTTGTGTGAATATATTAGCTAATTTACGCTTTTACAACCTATCGACTGCATTACTCCGACATAATTTTCTAAGGAGTCTGGCAATTTTAACTCGCCATTTATCGTGGGGGAATACCGTTTTCGGTTTTCTATCACAACAAGAAAAGCAATGCTGAGGGAACAGATTTTG